ACATAGATACATAAGAATTTCCTTTCTTTTTAAGACAATCATATTCCATTATCTTTACATACCATTTTGTTTGTCCATTCTTCCATCGGTGGACACTTGGCTTGCATCCACCCTTTACGCAGTTGACTTCAATTACCTGTACTTCATCCAGATAGAGAAATGGAGTTTTAAATCTACACGTACTTGGGGGGAGGAGGGGACACTACACCATGAGATGGGAGAGGGCAAGTACAACACACAGGAGATGTTACCACCCTATTAAATATACTTTGCCATATTTAATAGCTAATATATACTTATGGTAGCAAATTTGGAAAATATAGAAATGTGTCAAAACGCAGTAAAAACTGCCTCCAATTCTTGTACCCAGAGATAAGTCAGGTGATCTATATATATATAGAAAAAAGACTATTCACAGTGGCTGGGACATGGAAGCAACCAAAGTGTCCTACAATAGATGATTGGCTAAAGAAGCTGTGGTACATGTATATGATGGAATATTATTCAGCCATAAGAAGAAATGAAATACTGCCATTTGCAATAACATGGATGGAACTCAAGATAATCATGCTAACTGTATGTAAAAAGCCAGACAGAAAAAGTTGAAAATCATATGATATCACTTATATGTAGGATATAATCCAAAAAGCAACAAATGAACACGATAAACAAACAGAGACTCATGGACATGGACTATAGACTAGTGGTTACGAGAGGGTAGGGGGTGGGGGAAGAGAGTGGAGGTAGACGGGGTAAAGGGGGTCAAATATGTGACAGAAAGAAATCTAACTATGCGAGGTGAACACAGTGTAAACATATATATCTGTTAAAGTGTACAGCTGAAACTTATTGGATTTCTTTAACCAATGTCACCATGAAAAAATATTATAAAATAAAAAGTAAAAAAAAAAAAAAAAACAGAAAAAAAGCAAACAGATAAAACTTCCTCAATCAAAAGAATGAACTAAAATATAAAATTTAACTAACTTCTGTCTACACAAGATTCACGTAGATGTGAGGATACACATAGGGTATAACTTAAAGGATGGTGAAATGTATTCTATGGAAATGGTAACCAATAAAAGGTATGGGTGGCCATACTAATATCAGACAAATATACAGTAAGTGTTGAAAAGTGTCATAACAAGAATGATATTATATAAAGACAAAAGGGTGAATCTATCAGGAAGCTGTAACAATTATATTATAAATACAAATGCACATAACATTGGGGCTCCCAAATATATGAAGCTTGCGAAACAGAATTAAAACAATAAATAGACAAAGTGTCTATGGCCATGGTACCCAGAACAAGCCCAGTCCTGTCTGATTTCGGAAGCTAAGCAGGGTCAGGCCTTGTTAGTACTTAGATGGGAGACCATCTAGGAAGACCAGGTGCTGCAGGCATAAAAAATAAGGGATTGTAAATTGATGAGGTCCTTGCAATCTGTGAGGTCAACCAAAGGTTGCCTCGCCTAAAAAAAGAAAAAAGAAAAGAAATAGACAAAGTACAGCATAGGGAATATAGTCAATAATATTGTAATAACTATGTGCCAGGTGGGTACTAGACAAACTGAAGGGATCAGTTTTTAAATTGTATAAATGTCAAACCACTATGCTGTACCTCTGAGACTAATATAAAATAATATTGAATGTCAACTGTAATTGAAAAATAAAAGCAAAATGAGAAATAGAAAGTCATGTAATAGGAGCTATCAATACCTCAATTTCAACTAGATTAAAAAAAAAAAATACAGGATCAGTAAAGACAGGCCTGAACAACACTATACACTAACTAGATATACATATATATTCCACTTTACCAAACTAGAATGTACAGTCTTTGCAATCACATGTGAAACATTCTCCAGTACAGACAACCTGTTAGTCCACAAAACGAGTCTCAACAAATTTAGTAAGATGGAAATAATCCAAGTATCATTTCTGACCACACTGGAATGGAACCAAGAATTAATAGATACGGAAACGTGATAACTCTGCAAATAGCTGGATATTGAACCCACACTCTTGAATAACCAGTGGGTCAATAAAAATATTCAAAAGGAAATCAGAAAATACCTTCAGATGAATGAAATGAAAACACAATATACCAACACTTATGGGATTTCAAGAAAGTAGTACTAAAAGATAAGTTTATAGAGACTGCACTTACATCAAAAATGAGAGATTTGAAATAAACAATACAACTTTACACATTAAGGAAAAAGTAAAAGAAAAACAATATAAGCCCAAAGTTAGCAGGAGTAAGGAAATTCAAAAATTGAGGAGAAAATAAAGAATGGACACAATAGGGAAATATAATGAAAGGAAGATTCATATGTTTAAAAAAGATGAACAAAATTGAACACCCCTTACCTAATTAAGAATTACAGAAACAATACTAAAATCAGAAGTGAAACCAGAGGTGTTATAAATGATGCCATAAAAATAATTATGAGGCTACTATGAATAATTAAATGACAACAAATGGACATGTAGGAAAAATGCATTAATTTCTATAAAAATAAAACCCACTTAGACTTTTCAGGATTGAAAAAAAAAAAAAAAGACCTAAAAATAGTATGTTAAATCAGTAATGATAATTTAAAAAAAAAAAAAAAACCTCTGAACAAAGTATAGCGCTGGATTAGATGAATTCGCTGGATAATTCTAGCAACATTGTTTTTTCATACTTACGTTGTACAACTCAATGAGTATTTTTTCAATTATAGTTGGCATACAATAATATACCAGTTTCATGTGTACATCATAGTGATCAGAGATCCACGTAACTCACAAAGTGATTACCCCCACTGAAACTAATACTCCTCTTCCCCCTTACATATTTATTACAACATTATTAACCATATTCTCCATGCTACACTCTACATCTCCAAGTCTACTTTGTACCTATTCATTTCCAAAGCCATACTGAGAAAAAAGAACAAGGCTGGAGGAATCACTTTGCCCAACTTCAAAGCGACAGTAATCACAAAGCAACAGTAATCAAAACAGCATGGTATTGGCAGAAAAACAGACATATGGACAAGTGGAACAGAATCGAGAGTCCAGAAGTAAACACATATCTATATGGGCAAATAATTTTCAACAAAAGAGCCAAAAACATACAGTGGAGAAAGTCTTTAATAAATGGTGCTGGAAAAACCGGAAAGCCACCTGCAAAAGAATGAAATTAGAATGTTGTGTATCGCCACACACCAAAATTAACTCAAAATGGATTAAGGGCCTGAATATAAGACCTGAAACAATAAAATGCACAGAAGAAAACATAGGAACTAAACTCAAGGACCTTGGACTTAAAGAGAATCTTATGAATTTCACCTCAGAGTCAAGGGAAGTAAAAACAAAAATAAACAAATGGGACTGCATCAAACTAAAAAGCTTCTTCATAGCAAAAGAAACTGTCAACAAGGTAAATAGACAAGCATCTAAATGAGTAAATGTGTTTGCAAGCAACGCCTCTGATAAGAACCTAAGATCCAAAATATACCAAGAAACTTATACAACTCAATAACAACAAAAAAAAATGATCCAATCAAAAAATGGGCAGAGGTCCTGAACAGACACTTCTCCCAAGAAGATATGCAAACGGCCAACAAACATATGAATAGATGCTCATCATCGGTAGCTATTAGAGAAATGCAAATCACAACCACGATACCATCTCACACCTGTTAGAATAGCTAGAAATGTTGCAGAACGAAACCAGACTGGCGAGAAACCAAGCACTACTCAGAGAGTTTGAGAACTCAGGTTTATTATGCTGGCGGTCCCAGAAGAGCTGGCACTCTGAAGATCTAGGGCCCAAGCTCAGGGGTAACCCTAGTTTTATAGGGTTAAACAAGCAAAAGCAATACATCTGTTCTTAACAAGCAAAGGCAAAACATCTGTTATCTAGACAGAACAAGCAAAGGGGAGGGTGAGTCTTCAGCTGATCTCAAGATCACTCTGCCCTTCAGCCTATGCAGCAAGCATGTCTACAGAAGAACAAAAAGCTGATTACAAGGTTAGCCATTTGCAGCAAGCATGTCTACAAAAGCAGAACAAAAAGCTGATTACAAGGTTAGCCATTCCTCTTCATAATCAACAGGACAAGTAATAACAAGTATTGGAGAGGATGCAGAGAAGGAACCCTGATATACTACTTGTGGGACTGCAAATTGGTACAGCCACTATGAAAAACAGTATGGAAGTTCCTCAAAAAACTAGGAATTAATCTACCATATGATCCAGCAATTTCTCTACTGAGTAGTTACCCCCAAAGACTTAAAAACATATATCTAAAAAGATATTTGCATATTGATGTTCATAGCAGCATTAGTCACAGTGGCCAGGATATGGAAGCATCTGAAGTGTCCTACAATAGATTGGATAAAGAAGCTATGGTACATATATATAGAATGGAATGCTACTCAGTCATAAGAAGAGATGAAATACTGCAATTTGCAACAACATGGATGGACCTCAAGATAATCATGCTAAACTGAAATAAAACATACAGAAAAGATTGAAAACCACATGGTACCATTTATATGTGGGATATAAACCTAAAAGCAATAAAGGAACAGGAGAAACAGAGACTCATGGACATGGATAATAGAGTAGTGATTACCATCAGGGAGGCTGGGGAAGGGTAGAGGTAGATTGGGTAAAAGGGGTGAAATATGTGCTGACAGAAAGAAATCTACCTATGAGCTGTGAACACACAATGCAATATATATAGCTCCAAGATAGCTCAAGCCCCGCCCCCACCACGATCATTTGCCTTTTTCCATTCACTTCCAGGTGTCTGCGCATGCCTGGCCTCTCACCGCGCCCCACGTTAATCCTCCTGTGCTTCTCATGGCCACACTCCTGCATAGGTTTCACTTCTTCCCTGTTAATGTGCCGACCAGTTTCTGCCCAGCCCTCCCCTTGTGGATTTTCTCCTCACTGGTCCCGCCCCTGAGCCAGTTCCCCAGCCCGTTCTTCTTCGTGGTCAGGCAGCGACCCCAGGAAGCCCGCCTCTTCCCTCCCAGCGCCATGTTTTACCAACTCGGGAACGGGGAGCCAGAAGCAGAAATTACACTGCCCAGCGTGAGTTTCCGAATTTCTAGCTTAAGCCTGCGCTTCACAACTCCTCCTTTTTCATACAGGGGCCGGTCGCCGTGGACCTTATCGTCCCCGCAGTCGGCCTATTCCTTTTTTAAATTCCAGTGTCGCCGTAAGGGCCAGGCACTTCTCTTGGCGTGTGAAATGGCTCCGGGGCTGCTCCTTGCCGTCGCTTCTCCGTCTTAGGTCCACTTAGACCTGCCTTACGCCTCGGTTTCCTTGCTCAGGGGCGTTTCCTTGCTCAGGGGCGGAGAGGTCCAGGCCCGAGGTCCGATAGGTGCCCTCACAGCATTCCGTGAGGTGGTGTTGTGGCCCAGCCTCACCTCGCGATCCCTGAGGCAGCGCCGGCCATCCTGGCCCAGGAGACGCTGCGTCCTCTCCGCGGTGCTGGGATTCTGGAGACCCCACCCCTCTCCTGAGAAAGCGGCCCCGCCCTAGTCTCGCGTTCCCCTCAGGAGGGGTCCTTCTGCTCCTCAGACCTCCGATTTGTAGCGCCCCTTCCTCTGACCCCACAGTTATGCGCTTAACCTGTGCCACCCACTGGTCTCTCATCCCACGTTCCACCCCACGGAAAAATGTGCCCCCTGGGGAGGCAGCATCTTATTTCATCCCACTTTTTCTGTGCGGCCAAGGAGTGGGGAGGAACTGGACCCGGAGAGGGAAATAAAGTAAGTGAGGGGAGAAGAGTGAGAACAGATGCCAATGTAGAGAATGAGTGAGGGACGTGTAAGGAGATAGTGAGAGTGAAAGTAGCAGGAGTGGGAAATAGAAGTTCAGAGGAAATTGAGATTTCCAGAGAGATGATGGTGAGCAAATGGAGGGTCCTATAATGGAAGAAGGGGTTTTGTACTGAATCAGGAATTCTTAACTGCGCAGTAATGGTGGGTGGGTATAACTTTCAGTTCTAAAATCAACAACACACCCAAGGCCTGTGGCTTTAATGAAAGATTTTGAATGCAGCCTTATCCATTATTATGCATTCAGGTTAACACACCTTTGATGTGCCAGAAGTTATACCCCTCCAGACTTGACTACCCTGGAGAGCACATCATCTGGTTACTGTAATAATTACAGTGTGATTCTATCCCTGCCTCGCTTTCTCTCACCTTCATGTAATCTATTTTACATTCCTCCCTCCCCCACCCCCAAAAGCATGAAAGAAAGTGCAAAATTGTTCTGGGTAGAATTTGAGAGCTCGCTCACCAGCATATATCGTTAGTATGGCTCAAATACTCTTGAAACATTAGGAGAGAGGAACAAAATGAGCCAATGGTAATAAAGAAAGAAAGAAAAAATGGCAGTAGAGGTACAGAAGGAGGGAGGGAAATTCATAGTAGTGAAGAAAGAGGGGAGTCCAATTCAGAGTATATATCCAAAGGATATGAAATCATATTTTGAAAAGTTACCTGCACTCCCATGCGCATTACTAGATTATTCACAACAGCCAAGGTTGACAAATGAATAGAGAATATAAACGTGATACACATATTTAAATACACAAATATTATTCAGCCATAAAAATGGAAGAAGGAATGAACAACATACTTGAAACTAGAGATTATGCTAAGTGAATTAAGCCAGAGTAAGACAAATATTGCAGGATCTCGACATATATGCTATCTTGAAGTCAAACTCAAAACCAGAGAGGATGATGGTTACCAGGGGCTGGGATTCCTGAAAATGAAGCAATGGTGGTCAAATGATACAAACTTTCAGTTCTAAAATCAATAACATGTGGCCACCTAACATATGGTATGGTGAGTACACTTCTTCATACTGTATTGTATCCTTGAAATTTGCTGAGATAAGTCCTAAGTATTCTCACCACACATACATAAAAAAGTCATGGGAGTTGATGGATATCAGTTGGTTCTGATATTTTACATTGTATATGTGTTTTAAATATTGGTATACTCCTTAACCACCCATAATTTGTATTTATCCATTATGCCTCAATAAACCTAGGAAAGAATAAGCAGGTAGAAGGTGTGCTAGTGTTGCCTGGTCTAGACAGTGCTGAATCCTGCTTCACATTACATTGCTGAGACTTTTTGGCTGTGACATTTTTTTGTACCCCCTGAGTAGAAAGTGTCATTGAAATAATTGGGATGGGCACAGCCTCGATAATACTTAAAGTGCTTCAGGTGATTCTAATCTGTATCCATCATTGAGCAGTAAGGCTCTAGGTCCTCCATTTCTGGGGTCTGAGATCTGGTGTGAGGGGGCTCTGTTCTGCATCGGATTAGATCAGGGCCAGGTCTGTGACCTGAAGGAGAGTGTCAGGTCAGCCAAGGCCCCCACTGCTGTAGTGAGTTTGAAGGTATGACCAGAAGGGCGATGTGATCTGAAAAAAGGGGAAGGAAACTTCATTTGTTGGTCTCTGAGGAGCAGTTTACTGTTTCTGAATGCATCCTGTGGCAAGGGCAGCAGATACTGTCCTTTCTGTATGGTGAGGTCTTCCCTGTATGTGCGGTGGTGGCACGGGAAGGGGATATGATGATAAACAGCATATTTTCATCTTTCCAGATTGACTTGTAGAGACTTGTTGCATAAGGAAGAAGCCCAGAAGAGGAGGAAGAGGAAAGAAAAGGGTCAGCAATGGCTCTTTCTCAGGTAAAGTCATATTCTCAGTTGATTGTTGTGTCTGTCCTTCCTGGAATGCCCTTTGACTTGCTAATCTTCTATGACTCCGAATGGTCCTGCCTAATGTTTGTTCATACTCAACCTGGGCCTTACTCAGTCCGTCTCTTCTCTAGCTAGATTTCATTTTACCATGATCCAGTAACATGGTACTTGTGAAGAAGCTCCACTGGGCATTGTCCTGGGCAGGGGTTTACAGCATTAGATTTGAGACAGGGTGTGGGCTTCATGGTGTCAATGCCATTGGGCAATGGGGATTGTTTAGCAGCCACATTTGGATGCACTGTCACCTCTCTCAACCAGGATAAAAGGATGCATGTAGACATATTGATAGTCACAAATACCTCAGTTCTGGAAAAGGGACCAATAGGCAAAAACCTTTTTGACTGCTTCTATGATGCATTTGAAGCTAAAGGAGTGAGTCACTCACTGACTTCAAAATCTTCATGATTGGGAATAGAGTAGAAAGTTCACGGACAGACATCGGTGATAGAGGGTTTTTTATTCCATTATCCGTTTTAAAAGAGGAAATCATCCGTAATATCAATTGGAGAGTCTTCAGATCGTTTTTCTCACATTTCTTGGAGGTTGCATTTTCACCCTATGGATCGTATCCTTTGACACACAGAAGTTTCTTTTTGATACAGATAAGGTTCCAGCTTCATTCTTTATCATGTAGATATCCAGTTTTTCTTGCACAATTTAGTGAATGTACTTTTCTTCATTGTATGTTCTTAGCGTCATTGTTGAAAATCAGTTGGCATATATGCAGGGGTTTATTTCAGGGCATTCTCTTTTGTTTTATTGGCTCATGTATCTAGATTAATGCCGGTATCCCACCGACCTGATTACACTTTGTAATATGTTTTTTAGTCTCAAAAAGTGATGCCTCTGACTTTTTTTATTTTCAGAGTGTTTCGATGGTTTTCAGTCACTTTTTCTTTATTCCATGTGAATTCTAGTGCTTTTGGTTTTTGTTTTTTGATAGTGGTCCCATCGAATCTGTAGAGCACTTTGGGTAGCATGGACATTTGAACAATATTAAGTCCTGCAGTCCATGAGTAAGGAATATCTTTCTGTTTATCTGTACCTCCTTTGATTCCTTTTAGCAATGTTTTATAATTTCCAGTGTATAAGTCTTTCACTTTCTTGGCTATATTTATTCCTATGTATTTTATCCTCTCTGATGCTGTGATTAATTGGATTGTTTTCTTAAGTTTCTGTTAGGATTGTTCATTAGAACTTTCCTTAAATAATTTCTTAGTTGTAACATTTTTTGCATGTGTGTAATCTCTGGTGTTCTACATGTAAGCTCGTTTCATGTGCAAAAAAGAATTTTCCTTCTTTTCAATTTGGAAGACTTTTATTTTTCTTGTTTAATTGCTCTGTCTAGGACCTAGTACTCTGTTGAATAGTAATGCTGAGAGTATGCATCCTTGCCTTTTTCCTCATCTTAGAGCTAAAGCTTTCAGACACATACCATTGTGTATTCATTCTCTTAATGTAGGTTAGTTGATTCCTGTTACTTTTTACAATTGTAAGTTGTACTAAACATGGTTATTCTTTTTATTTTATTATTTTTTTATTCTTTTTAGTTTATTCTTTTTTTTTTTTTTGAGGTATAAAAGTAGATTTCTGATTTGAGATTGTTCTTTTTTAATGTAAATACCACTTAGCACCTCTTAGTGCTGCTATCACTGCATCCTGTTGATTTTTGTCTGTTGTATTTTCACTGTTGTTTTCATCCAGATTTTAAAAATTTCTCTTGTGATTTCTTTGAGCTACTGGTTGTTTAAGAATGACTTGTTTATTTTCCACATTTTGTGGATTTTTATGTTTTTTTCTTGCTATTTGTTTTTAATGTCATTTCCTTGTGGTTAGAGAAGATACCTTTTAGGATTGCAGTTTGTAAACAATTTTTCATATTTGTGTTGAGGCTAACATGTGGTCGGTCATGGAGAATGTTTTATGTGCGCTTGAGAACAGTGTGTTTTCTGCTGGTGTTGGAGACTTCTGTATATGTTTGTTAAACTCCATCATTCTATAGGATTATCAAGTGTTCTGTTTCCTTATGGATGTTGTGTTTGGTTGGTGTATCCATGACTAAAACTGAAATAGTGAGGTCTCATACGATTACTGTGCTGGTGCCTATTACCTGCATTTCTGTTCACAGTTACCTCATATATTTGGGAGTTCTAATGTTATATGCACCTATATTTATAATTGTTATAACTTCTTGGTAAATGGACCCTTTTACCATTATAATGTCCTTTTCATCTTTTCAGTTTTTGTCTTTGTTTTTTCTCATACATTATATCCATTTGGCTCTCTTTAGGGTATGGTTTGCATGGAATATCTTGTTTCCTCTTCTTATTAATAACCAATCTTTATACTTTGATTTGAGAATTTTAACAGTTCTATGCTTTGACTCTGTCTCCCTCAATCTATCTTTCCCTCTTTTCTCTTCTAGTTTCTGCTGAGATAGGAGCTCTGGTCAGCCCCCTTTCTTTACTATAATTTCAATGCAAATGCATCCACTGATTTTTGCTATTCAAAATGTTTGGCAAATGTTTCTGGTTAATTACAGGTTTTTCTCCAATTTCATTTTTGTTCTGATTTCTAATTACTGAAGAAATTTTTCAAATGATCACAAATGTGAGAATTTTTGAAATCTCGATCTGTTAAATTGATGTATAACAACCTTGAATTTTCGTTTTATGGATAGAATAAACCAGTACACTATTTGGGTTTTGTTAAAGCCTACATGTCTAAATGTAAATAGATAAATTTGTGTTTATGTGTTTAAGTATTTTATAGAAACTGGAGTTAAGTAGTCTATATTTTCAGTTCTATAATTTTAACTACCTCCTTTATTATGCAATCTTGAAAAATAAGAATAATTACCCCTGATACATTTTTATTAACCCAAGGTGCTGAAATGCACATGAATAAAAACAACAATGTATAAAGTCATCCAAAAATATGTCAAGAAATAAATTTTCATTTAATTGGTTTGTTTATATGTGTGTGCATGTGCGCATGCATGGTTTTTATAAAAGTGTATGATTTTTATAAAAAGTCATTTCATAAGTAAGTTTTATATTTTTTTAGCAGTTGCAACAATATCTTAAACATTTGTTATGACCTTAATTTTTGTCTACGCTGTCATGTTAATGATTTAACTAGAAGTAAAGATACCTCATGTGCGTGTGTGTGCACATGCAAATGTAATGACCTTATTTGTGGCTCAATGTCGTTAACCTGGAACTTGTTTTCGTTTTCTCAGAGAACACTTTGTCAGAGCACTTATGAGGTCTGTCTGTCACATAACTGTTTGATTTTTTTTTTTTTTTTTTTTTAGGTTCAGTCTAAATCCCAGCACCAAGTTCATGTGTTTGCTAGATCAGATCTTAGATTTTGACCTGAATTGAGTTTTGTAGATTTTCTCACACGTTTTTTCCGCTGTATGATGGGAACAGGTTTGACTGTAGTGAGCTATTATGTTGATAAGAAGTTAAAATATGTAAAGCGTAATGCATATAGGACGTGTTCAGAAATGTTTAGTCATGGCTGTTGTTATCACAATTTAAGACTCTGAATTTTTTTAAAAGATGCTGTGGACTTTGTCATCTCTTAAGACACTGCTTATGCTCTAGCTCATGCAGTCAGTGAATGTCACTCAATGTGTAGAACATAACATCGAAGCCTTCTTTGTAGACAGCCCGGTGAGAATTTTAATTGTAATTTAATGTATTGTCCACAAAAATGAGAAGCCCTCCCTGATTTACGGGCTGTCGTAGCCTTTTATGGGAAAGTAATAGAAAACAACATTGCGGACACATAACGTGCTCAAAAATATCCGAAGCGGATCTGACAGAACTCTCCACCTGAATTGATTTTATATCTGTCTCCTCTTCTCATTCTGAATGAAGGTAAGAACTGTCACCATTTCCCCTTGCTAAAATGTGTTTTCCTTTCAGAAATGGTTGACACTCAGTGATGTATTTATAGAATTCTCTCAGGAGGAATGGGAGTGCCTAGCCCCAGCTCAGCGTGCATTGTACAAGGAGGTGATGTTGGAGAGCTACCAGAACCTGCTTTTCCTGGGTGAGGATGACTTCTCTTCAAAGTCAAGATCTGTCCTGGGAGGTCTCTTCCTTTTCCCTTGGGTGCTTCTTGGGAGACTCTGGCTGCATGACTGAGATCGAAACTCTGTTTACTGGAACATAAAGTAACATCAGGAATTTAACCTCGCCATTTTGCAGGTGATCTGCCCACTTTGTGATACATCAGGGGTCATTCTAGAGTTTAAGTGTTTACATAAAGTCCTGAAGCAAACCTAAAATATCTGATTCGTTGTTTTCTGTTCTTACATATTGATCGAATAGCTTTTGGAAGAGAGTTTGCTATCTGCATATGACTCTGGTCCCTATGCACAGAAGGAAGCAAGAAATCAATGGATTCAGGAACTGTGTTTCTCTATCTGTACTATTCTTATTCCTCACTTGAACAGAGATAGGGGATTCTGGAAAAACTACAGGTCTTCATACTTCTTTCTTCTTATGTGCAGGAATTTCTCTTTCTGATCTGCATATTGTCTCCTTTTTGGAGCGAGGGAACGTGCCCTGGACTTTGGAGAGCAAGTTGAAAAGAGCACAGAAACCAAATCAATGGGAACATATTGAACGTGTAAACACAGGTACGAACTCAGGAAGAGAGGGAGAAGGCTGCTGCTTTCATAGTGTTTGCAAACTTGCCCCAAGGGAGAAAGTTCTGTGAGCAAACAGAAGTTTATTTCTGGGGAACCCTTAAAGGAAAATTTTCTTCTTTCCAAGTTACCACTCTACCCTTTAATGTGTAAAAGTTATTCTTTCATTCTTAGCGGAGTTGCAGTTGTAACAGAGATGAAGGCAGAATCTTTATCATGATCCCAGCACTGTTCTGTGTCCCCTGGGACGTCTTTGGTTCCTTGACTTAAGGAGCGTAGTGCAGGCTCTCTCACATGGTCTCTGTCACCCTGGTCTCTCCTTCTGGACTGGAATTCATCAGATGCTTATTTCTCAGTCCATACAGAGCAGGGCCGAGGCCTTGCAGTCCGGAGCCCTGGACCTGTCCCAATCCTATCCCCTTTTCCTGTGGTTGGAAGGACTGCTCAGAAGAGGGGACGTGCTGTTCGTTTATCCATTTTGTCTGGCTTCCCAGGAACTGCGTGAGAACTGCCCTGTCCACCTGTCCCTTTCCCTCAACTATTTCTTCTGTTCTGCTCTGCTTTTGCTACACACTTCAGAGGTGTGTATCACAGGGTGTGTATCACAGGTGGGTAGGATCTTTTGTAACTTATTAGGAAATCTTTAGAGACAGTGGACAGAGAGGGCATATCTTTGATCCCCAGTCCTACACAGGGAGCGCATTTCAATCTTCCAGGCTCGTAGTTTGGTGTCTGTGGTGGCACACAGTCCCCTCACAGTCCTACAGTGTGTGACCCCATTCCTTATACTCTTCTCTCTCTCTGCACCACACTACCAGTCTGGGAATATAGACTCTTCCAGATTTCATATTCTCTTCAATTTGCATGGTTTGCCTCTGAACGTTGCTAAGGTCTGATAGTTCACTGTATTTTGCTGGTGTCATCCACTTTTAAGGGATGGACAACTCCTGGGGAGTGTGTGTCCTTAGTCACAGAAGATTCTTGACAGAGATATTTTGACTGATATGTTGCAATATTATCCTGCTATGCACAGAAGCAGTACTTGGAGCTGCTTGGCAGAGCAGTCAGCATTTCCCAGGACACCAACTTAGAAAGTGTCCTGACAGCTGGTCTATAAGTGATTTTAGTTTTGTTTCCAGTTGCAGAGTATCAGTAAGCATCTCTTCAGAACGCTGTGATCACGTGGATCATGTGCACACACGTACTAAACAGGGTAGAATTTCTCCTGGGAGAACATTGTCCAAGTTCACAGCCTCCTACCCTTGAAGCTCCTAACTAAATTGTTGTTCATACCATGGTTCTCATCCCGTGTGTGCACACTGCCTCAGCAGATAAGATTTTGAACCATCTTACTGAGGAAGCTTAGGAAGTTGAGTGGTACCTCAGTGAAGTCTACTATCATTTGTTTTTGTTTAAGCCACTGCTCCTTTCATCTTGTAAATTCCCATGCATTGTAAATGAATTTGAGTTTTGCTTATTTAGTCATCTGTTTTATATTTTTGATGATACTCTAGCGTTTTGTATTTGCAGTGTGTGGGAAGGTGGAATTGGAGCAAGGACGTTGTTTGGTACATATGGCAGTATTTTCTTCTTTAGTGTGGTGAATATGGCCCACCAATTATTTTTTCTAAATCCTAAACTTATTCTAAAATATTTTGAAAAGATAATTATTTCTTCCACTTCTTTTCACCTGATTTTGTAACTCGTTTTAAGTTACTCTTTTGTCAATTGAATTTATTACAGTTTTTAATTTGGGAATTCTCAATACATTATGTATATATTTTTTATGTCATTTTCTTAATCTCAGACATAGTATTAAGTTGGTTTGTCATAATGTATGATTCCTTGGTTTTCTATAGCATGTTTTCTATTTTTTATCCATAATTTTTTTTGTAAGCTTCACTGCATTTTTACTTCCTGGTATAACTGCTCTTTTCTAATTATTACTTGCCCTGTCTGGAACCACCATGTCCACGTTGGTGTACTGAATTAATACTTAAGTATTTTATTGTATTTTATGAGTAACTCAGCTGCTTTCTTGCACTTTAATGAATTCTTCTCCACCGTCCTTTTAGCACCTATAATTTCTGCAAAATTTCTAAAGTACTGGAAATTACATCCTTGAGTGAACACAAGACTGTTTTGTTTCCATCTTTCTATCTGAATTTATACAGTGTACCTGCACCCTGTTGTCCTCCCTCCAGGTTCTGTCCTGTTGTTCCCTGGCACTTGTTTGCTGTGTATGTTGCTGTCCATCTGTCTGCACATCAGCCTCCTCTGTGTGTCTCCATGTTATTTCCAGAAGATGTTCCTGCACATATCTGCGCCTACTTAAAAGACTTTTGAATACTAGTCCTTTTGTGTTATAGGTCATTTCCTTCTTTTCTCCAAAAGATGCTTCTGGAGTGGAACTAATGAATTTTCGATAAGTGCCCGTTAAGTCTCATTGATTTATAATACTAATTATGTGTCTACTAAAACATACAGTGGGAGCACCCCTGACCTCATGTCTTTCTTTTTATTATGATACAACATAACATCATTTTATATCATTTATGCTTCACAGAATTTATCTGTACCGTATTTTGTTGTTTTTCTTCAAGTGCAGAATTAATTGATTACCATGAGTATTTAAAATTACTTGCTTCCTCTATGGCCATGCCACCCTGAACAAGCCCAATCCCGTCTGATCTTGGAAGCTAAGCAGGGTCGGGCCTGATTAGTATTTGGATGGGAGACCACCAAGGAAGACCAGGTGCTGTAGGAGTAAAAAAATAAAAAATAACGGATTGTAAGCTGACAAGGTCCTTGCAATCTGAGGTCAACCAAGGGTTGCCTCACCTATAAAAATAAAATAAAATTACTTGTTTCTATTTTCATCTTTCTTCAGCCCCTGGCAAACAGCATTGTTAGTTTTCTATTAATTTGACTATTCTGGGTACTTCCCATAAATAGCATTATATAGTATTTGTCTGTGACTGGTTAATGTCAATTAGCATAATATCCTCGGGTTATCCATGTCAGTGCAAATGACTGGATAAGTGACTATTTTTGCATGCTGAATTATATCCTGTTGTAGGTGTTTACCACTCTTTGTTTGTACAGTCATCTCTCAGTGAACATTTGGGTTATTTCTACCTCTAGGTTATTGTAAATAATGCTTCTGTGAACATAGGTATGCAAACATTTGTTTGAAATTCTGCTTTCGAGTTTTTTGTATATGTCCCCACAAGTCGAGTTGCTGGATCACACAGTGTGTCCATCTGTTCTCACTCCTATAACAGAGAACCCAAGTGGGTGGCCTATTAACAGCAGGAAAGTATTTCTCCCAGTTCTGGGACTAGAAGTCTGAGGTCAGGCCCAGCATGGTCAGGTTGGAAGGAGGACCCTCTTCTTAGTTGCAAGTGGCCAACTTCTCCTTGTACCCTCTCAGGGCAAAAAGAGGGCTGGTCTCTGGTCTCTCAAGAGGATCCACTCTCATGACCCATTTACCTCCCACAGGCTCACCATTGTCATTTGAAGGATTTCACCATCAAATTCTAGTGGGACACCCATATTGAGTCTATAGCAGATGATAATTCACTGTTTAATTTTCAAGGACCTGCCCTCATACATTTCACGGAAGCAACAGCATTTTACCTTCCCAAGAGCGGTGCAGATGCCCATTTTTTCATATCTTCGACATTTGTTATTTCCTGCTTTTTTGATAGTAGTCATAATGGGTGTGAAGTGATAGTTCATCCTGGTTGAGATGTGCATTTCCTTATGATTAGTGATACTTCATGTGTTTATACATCATCTCTAGAGAACTGTCTGTTCACATCCTTTGCTCAGTATTTAATCGAGATATGTTGGGTTGTTGTTCATGGCAAGGATAGAAGTTTATGTTACTGTGATTTATAATAAAATATATGTGGTATTTGTCCCCATTTCTGAAATGGGTGTCTCATTCATAACCAGTCCCTTTTAGTCACAACGCTATATATGTGAGTGAGGTGACTTTTGAAAATAGCTGATGTCGAGAAGCCTACTTGTCAGGGGAGCCAACCATATAATTGGAAGGTTAGAACTTATACTCCAACCTTCTGAACTCTTGAGAGGGGAGAAAGGCTAGAGATTGAGGCTTATCACCAATGGTCAATCATTTAATCAATCACTCGTATGTAATGAACTATAACCCAAAAGGAAGTGTTTTTGAATCTTCTAGGTTTGAACCTCTGGTGACTGGAGAGAGTGGTGTGCTGAGTGGGGCATGGAAGCTTCCGATGTTTCTCCCGTAGGTTACCCAATGCATTTCTTCATCTGGTGGTTCTTGCCTTTATCCTTTCTCAGTAATTGAATAGTGTAGTCACTAAAATATTATTTGATGCTTATGATTTCCAAATACTATTTCCTATTCCATGGATTGGCTTTTCACTCAATTGACTGTGTCCTTAGATGCCCAGAAGTGTGTCATTTTGGTGAAGTTCAGTTCACTTTGTTTACTTTGGTTTTGTGTTCTTTTGCTGTCATATCGGATAAATTATTGTTGAATCCAGTATAAGATTTTTTTCTTATGTGTTCTTCTAGGACCTTTATAGTTTTTGGTCTTATGTTTTTTTTGTTATATTTTTAGTTAATTTATTTTTATGGTATAAGGAATTGTTCCAAATTTATTTATTTTATGTTTATATCTCATTTTTTCAACAACTTTGGTTGAACAGCCTGCTTTGACTTCATTGAGTGGTCTTGATAACCCTCTGGAATATCACTTGACCATATATACCTCCATTTATTTTATTTATTTGTTTTTTTAAATTTCGTTTAATCTTTATTGAAATATAAGACAATTAGTTGCTTGTATTTACATTGTACAATTCAATGAGTATTTTTTCAATTATAGTTGGCATACAATAATATACCAGTTTCATGTGTACAGCATAGTGATCAGAGATCCACATAACTCACAAAGGGATCACCCCACTGAAACTAATACCTCTCTTCCCCCTTACATACTTATTACATTATTAGCCATCTTCCCCATGCTACACTCTACATCTCCATGTCTATTCTGCAATTACCCCTTTGTTATTCTTAACCCCTTTGTGGGTTTTTTTGCTACTCCCCCAACCCCCTCCCATGTAGTAGCCCTCAAAATATTCTCTGTATTTATGAGTTTATTTACTTTTATTGTTGTTATTATTTTGTTCTTTAGATTCCACCTTTACATGAAATCATGCAATATTTGTCTTTATCCAACCCATTTCATTCAGTGCAATACCCTTTAGGTCCATCAAGGCAATCTTTTTCCATCCTCTTTTAGTCTGTGTGTATCTTTTAATCTGAAGTGAGTCTCTTGTAGGCAGCTCATGTAGGAGTCTTGTTTTCTTATTCATTCAGTTTCCCTATATTTTATTTGTAGCACTTAATTCTTTTCCATTTGAGGTACTTGTTGATAAATATGTAGTTATTATCATTCTCTAAAACTATTTTTCATACATTTTTTTCTTCTTAAAGAAGTACCTCCAACATTTCCTGTAATACTGGCTTGGTGTTGATGAATTCCTTTAGCTAGTTTTTGTCTGGGAAGCTCTTTATCTGTCCTTCGACTCTAAATGATAGCTTTGCTGGATAAAGTATTCTTGGTAATAGATCCTGGGTTTTCATCACATTGAATATTTTGTGTCAGGCCCTTCTGACCTGCACAGTTTCTATTGAGAAATCAGCTGCCAGTCTTATGGGTACTCCCTTGTAAGTAACTAACTGCTTTTCTCTTGCTGCTTTTAAGATTCTCTCTTTGTAGAATTTAACCTTCGGCATTTTAATTATGATGTGTCTTTGTGTAGGCCTCTTTGGATTTCTCTTTCTTGGGACTCTCTGAGCTTCCTGGGGTTGTAGGCCTATTTCCTTCACCAGGTGAGGGAAATTTTCCATCATTATTCCTTAAAATAGCTCTTTAACATCTTCCCCCACCCCCTGTACCTCTATGACACGGATATTTTTAAATTTAATAGTGTCCCATAGGCTCCTTAAATTATTATTATAGTCTTGGCTTCTTTTTTCTTGCCATTCTGATTGAGTGTCCTTGGCTGCCCCATTCTCTATATAGATCATTCGATCCTCTTCTTTATTTACTCTGTTTATTCCATTCAATATATTTTTCACCTCATAATATTCTCTTCATTTATGACTGGTTCTCTTTCATAATTTCCATTTCCTTTTTATGTTTTTTATCTCTTTGTTGAACTTCTCACTGAATTCATCTACACTTCCGCTAAGTTCATTGAGCATCTTTATAACCAGTGTTTTGAACTCTGCATATGTGAGGTTACTTGACTCCATTATTTCTGGATCTCTGTTCTGTTCTCTCATATAGTTTCTGCTTCTCTGTCTTCCCATTTTGGCTACCTTTCAGTGTCTGTTTCTATATACTAAGCAAAGTTCCTAAGTCTCCCGGTCTTATTAGCGTGGCTTTGTGTAGTAGGTGTCCAGCGGCACAGTCCTGAGAGGGGTTTAGCTGCAGGCCAAATTTAACCCCAGCCTGTGCCCCTCCAGGGCCACCTGTTAAGATTCAGCAAGCAATCCGCAGATGCTGTGCTTATAGTTGCCTCAAAAGGCCACACCAGAAACTGAGGTCATCTGCCACCAGTGAGAGACTTCACGCTGCTCAGCAAGGGGTACCTAACTAAGGGAGGACACACCTGGATGTGGCTTGGGTGGGGCCACAAGTTGGTGGAGGCAGAGTTTTAGGGAATCCTCTGGGCTGAGTGACCTCTATTATCCAGTTTGATGTCTCAGCTCTGGTGGCGTTGAGTGGGCACATGGGAGCAGGGAGGGCTCAACAGAGGAACAATGGATACTGCAGCACTTCTGGACAGAGTGAGTCTCGCCTAAGCCCTCACTCCAACAACTCAGTGTCCCCCTCTAAGTCCCTGGTGTCCCCTGCGCAACTGAACCTGCACTGGTGCTCAGAGCTAACAGATCCGTCACCGGGAAAGTTCACTCGTGGACTCAGCCCCTTTAAGAGGCGTCTGCAGCTGCTGGCTGCCGCTGCTGTGGCCTCTGTCCCACTCAGCTGCTATAGACCAGGCAGCCTTGCGTCCTTGCCCATCCCACCTTTTGCCGTTGCAGGGTGATTTCTTAGATTTCGCCCTAGTTGTATGGCTTGTTCATCCAGATCCCAGGAGATTTTTCTTGCTGTTTGCTCCTCATTTCTGTCACAACTTTGATTTGGTTGGCAGAGGGATGACAGAGCCTCTATCATTTATGCCATATCCTCTACCCCCTTTATTTTGGATGCCTTTATTTTATTCTGCTGTTCTCTGTCTTTATTCCAGTACCACATGTTTCAATTAGTTTAACTTTGAAATATATTTTGAAATATGGATCTTTGAGTCTTTGACTTTTATTTTTCCAAATTAGGTTTTTCATGTAGAGACAAGATTCTGTATGAACTTTAGGATGGATTTCTATATCTCTTTAAAAAGTGAATTTGTAAGTTTTTAAAGATATTACATTGAACCTATTGATCACTTTGGCTGTTATGGACACATTGACAGTATTGTCTTCCAGTCCATAAACATGGAATGTCTTTAATTTTTTTGACTTTTTAAAATTTTCCAGCATTGTTTTTTGTTGACAGTACACCAATTTTCTCCTCCCTGTGTTTGGTTATAATTAAGTATTTTATTATTTTAATATTTTTACTTTATCTTGTATTTTACTTATTTCATTTTTATTTTATGGTATTGTATTAGAATTGTTACAGAATTTTCATTTTGATTATTCTTTGTTAATATATAGAATCCAAATTGATTTTTTGCATCTCGATTTCATATCTTGCAACTTTTATTTATTTTTTGCCTATTCTGTTTAGAATTTCCAGTACGATTTTTTATTAAAACATGGAGAGGTGGCATACTTGTCTTGTTCCTGATGTTAAAAGGCTTTTAGTCTTTCACCATTGAGTACGATGTTAGTGCTAGGCTTGTCATATGGGTCCTCTTTTATTTTGAGGGAGCTGATTTTTTTATTCCTAGTTCATTGTGTATTTTTTATCATGAAAGGCTAATGTTTCTCAAATGTTTTGCTGCATCAGTTGAGGTGATCATTTATTCATTCTTATTCTGTGCAGTGTTACATTCATCAGTATTCATCAGAGCTATTAGTGTTCCTGTACTGTTTTTGTCTCACTTGGCTATTAGTGTAATTCTGGCCTCCTGCAATGAGTTTGGAAGGGTTCCCTCCTTTTCAGTTTTTTTGTGAAGGGTTTTGGGAACATTGGTGTTCATTATTTTTAAAATGTTGGATAGAATTTTGCAGTAAAGTTTTATGTGCTTGCTTTGTTGAATGACTTCTGATTCGTCATTTAATCTTTTTACAAGTTATAGGTGTGTTCAGATTTTTTAATTCTTCAAGAGTCACCCTTGGTAGATGATTACTCAGAAACCATATTTAGAATGGATGGCTGTGCAACCCTATCATAGTGACACAGCTCAGCTGTTGTATGTCCCAAGAAGTATTTGTTTCTAAGCTCATGGTATTTGTTGTAAGCCTTTGTAATCTACTGCCTGGGTGGGCAGTCATGGTTCAGAACATGAGTCTGTAGGTCCAGGTTCTAATCCTGTTTCTCTCACTTTCTACGTAAATGAGGTTTATGTACATTAACCCTGTGAGTCTACTTTCGTTAATTGAAAATATATAGGTAATTTCTCACAAGGCTTTTTAAAGCACATTAGTGCTCTTAGACAACTTAAGATATTGCATGTTTTATACCGAGGACTCAAAAGTTACTTTTATTTAATGAGATATATCAACTTTGTTACATCTTTATTGTGAGATACCCTTTTGCATGTATCATATTGTATGTTTTTATTTTGTAATATGTTCCCTCACCTTAATCAATTTTTGAAGCACAGACTATATTACATATACTGTGGGGGCAGTGTACTGGATGAGTAAATGGCCCTGCGTACATAGGGAATTATTCTATGGATTGGCTGTTATATAGCAGTCATAAAATTCTAATGGTGAGTTTTGGCTTTTTTCTAATACTCTTCTTTATAATGTTTTATATTTTCCTGACCTGATATTTTGGAAGTCAGTGCTTCCCGTGTCATTTTTAGTTCTCATATTTTTTTCTGGAAGTTCTTTCTTCATTCTTAAGGGGGAATATTTAGAATTTGACAATTAACTTACTATAATATGGTTACCTGTTATTCACTGCTGGTTTTCCCCTGGATTTCTTGATTTTCCTTTGTTTACCTTTAGTTTGATATACAGACGATGGTCTTTGAGCATGTATTATGCAATATAATTGACATACACCATTTGTTGATGTTCTAAAATGCCTTTTCGTAATGGATACAGATAGTTTTATAACAGACATTTTAAAAAAACTTATTTTTAAAAAAATGTTTTGTTGATGCTTTAATTTTCTTAGGGGCATATTTGTGGTACAATTTTAGACTGCCTGTGTATATAGATTATTCTTTACATAATGTTGTTTGGGGATATTTATCATTACATATATTGTCTATCACTTAGCATTTACTAATGTCCCATATGTATGTAAAAATATGTATGATATATTTTTCCTCAGTTATGAGATAGCGGTACAGTTACAGTTGTTACGTGTTTTGGATTCATGGTTGAAAAATAACCCTTTCCTTGAAAGCTAACACAAGTTTGCATGATGTGAGTGTTTTTATTATAAGGTGTTTGAAACTAGGCTTCCCTGATATTAATTTGAATTGTATATGACCACTATTTTTTTTTTTTTTTTTGGTCAAAAATCCTGTTTCTCTATTATTTTAGAAGTTTACAAGTCATGTTTGGGAAGTTTCATAAATGTGTTTAGTATAACTTTACTTTTGGTGTAATGTTAGTTTTCAGTGTGAAACATTTACTTAAAAACTAATTAATAGGATAACTGTGATTTCTTTACATTTTTGTAGATATCTATCCTTCATATGTGATCAAGAAATTAAAACCAACAGAAACCAGTAATGCAGGAGGAGTTCTCCAAACAATGATGTTTGGAACACATGAAAGCCATGTAATTAAAGATTTTTACTTCAGGGAAATCCAGGAACATATGCATGACTCTGTGTATCAGCAGAGAGTTGTTGAAATAAAGATTTTTACTTCAGGGAAATCCAGGAACATATGCATGACTCTGTGTATCAGCAGAGAGTTGTTGAAAGCATACGCATGACTCTGTGTATCAGCAGAGAGTTGTTGAAAGAAATTACAAGGGAATGCCAATAACTCATAAAAAACTTCTCACTGATAGAAGAGGTGAACATGGTAGAGAGCATGCCAGAAACGAGCCTATTGAAAACCGGCTTGGTGTAAGGTTTCACTCACATCGGGCCAATATGGAGCTATTTCAGACTGAAGGGAACATTGATGAATGTAATCCAGCCAAGAAGTCTTTCAACAATACCTCCTCTGTTTCTCTACCTCAGAAAGTTTTTCCTAGTGTCCAAGCCAATGTTTGTACTATATATGAGAGTGATCCTAGGCATCCTTCAATGCTGACAAAAGATCTGAAAGCATCCAGGAAAAATTTTTACAAATGTCATGAGTGTGGCAAAGAGTTTAGTGTGCGTTCATGCTTAACTAGCCATAAGTTTATACGTACTGGAGAGAAACCTTACAAATGTAATGAGTGTGGCAAAGCCTTTAGGGTGCGTTCAAGCCTCACTTACCATCAGTCAGTCCATCCTGGAAAGAGACCTTACAAATGTAGTAAGTGTGGCAAAGCCTTTACTGTGCATAGAATCCTAAGTTACCATCAAGTAATTCATAGTGGAGAGAAATCTTACAAATGTAATGAGTGTGGCAAGGTTTTCAGTAACAAATCAAATCATGCTCGTCATCGAAGCATTCATACTAGTGAAAGGCCTTACAAGTGTAATCAGTGTGGCAAACTCTTTAGTCAGAAATCATACCTAGCAAATCATCAGAGAATCCATACTGGAGAGAAACCTTACCAATGTAATGAGTGTGGCAAGGTTTTCCGTAACAAATCATATCTTGCAAGTCATCAGAGAATTCATACTGGAGAGAAACCTTACCAATGTAATGAGTGTGGCAAGGTTTTCAGTAATAAATCAAACCTTGCAATTCATCAGAGAATCCATACTGGAGAGAAACCTTATAAATGTAGTGAGTGTGGCAAGGTTTTCAGTCAAAGATCACATCATGCATGGCATCAAATTGTTCATACTGGCGAAAGACCTTACAAATGTAGTGAGTGTGGCAAGGTCTTTAGCCAGAAATCAAGCCTTTCAAGGCATCAGAGAATCCATACTGGTGAGAAACCTCACAAATGTAATGAGTGTGGCAAGGTTTTTCATAACAAGTCATACCTTGCAAGTCATCAGAGAATCCATACTGGAGAGAAACCTTACAAATGTAATGAGTGTGGCAAGGTCTTTAGTCAGAAATCAAGCCTTTCGAGACATCAGAGAATCCATACTGGAGAAAAACCTCACAAATGTAATGAGTGTGGCAAGGTTTTTCGTAACAAATCATACCTTGCAAGTCATCAGAGAATCCATATTGGAGAGAAACCTACAAATGTAGTGAGTGTAGCGACATCTTTAGTCATACTTTACACTATGCAAGACATCTGAGAATACATATTGGAGAGAAACCTTAATGTATTGAGTGGCAAAACCTCTAGTGTGAGTTCAACCTGAATTTACCATCAGATACTTTATACTTGTGAGAGTTCTTAGAAATGAACTGGATGTGGCAAGGCTTTTAGGTATTACTTTAAACTTAAGATTCACCAAATAGTTCATACATGCAAATGCCATGAATATGGCAAAATTTTACATTAGAGCCCACTCTTTACAAGCTATAAGAATATATATCTTTGTTAAAAAGCAAACAAGTTAATGTGTGGCAGTCTTTTTACTCAAGGATCAATAGTTGGAAAAAGTTGGAGTGATTCATTACAATTGCAATGTGTGTGGCAAAGCCATTAGAGTAAGTGTTATACAAGAACAGAGACTCCACAATGAAGAACAATCATGTAAATGTACAGGATAGAGCCCTTATTCAGACCTCACAATTGACTAGACATCAGAATTTACGTTTGAGAAAACACATAATGTGCGTGTTAATGCTTTTCCTCAAAGACCAAAACTGGAACATTATAAGATTTTGGAGACTAGCCTTACAAATGTAGTTAATGTCATAAGGCTTTTCATCAGATGTTTACATCTTCAAATATTAATGACAATTCATGCAGGACAAAAACTATACTAATATACTGAACATGGAAATGCTTCTAACCAACACGATCCTCAGGATTCATGCAATAAGTCACACCAAAGTACTGAATGTAGTAAAAATTTTAACCAGTTCTCACAACTGACACAGTCAAGGATCCATAGTAGCAATACTTAGTCTCCACTTTTCTGAGATTAGCCTGAGACATTACATAGAAACATTACAAATCATATTATGTTGAAACTGAAAAATGATGTATAACATAGGAACAAACAAGTCATTATCTTTAGAGTTTATAATACAGATTTAGTTATTCTGTTTACTTTAAACACTACATGACTATGAGTTCTAAGTCTGTTAAACTTACGTCTTCTAGGCCTTTCATACTTACCTCTGGGAAGCACTCAGTACAGTGAAAGGGCCTACTTCTTTAGGCATGGTTCATTCATATCCAAGTCTTATGGAAAAACAAAGGCACTGATTATAAAATTTATTGTATGAATTAACATTAGGGAAGGCGGAGCATAATGTAAAGCTATGCTCTGAGTCTTCATAGCAACTCTGCTCAGTGTGCATGCCTCTGGACAGGCCAGCCTTTCATAGGAAAGAAGGCTCCACCAACTGACGATGAAACAGCCCGACTGTCCAGAAAATGAAGGGCCTGGGCTTATCATGGGAGGAAAGTGATAGGTGACTAGGGGGCGATTAGTGGTAGAAGTCATGCAGTAGAAATGGTAACTTCCTACATTGAATGGTAGTAACTATTGTATATCAAAAATTAATGGAAAAGTTAGCTTATTCTTGGAAATTGTAGAGCGAGCAGGTGCATTAGAGGGGAACTGAATCAAAAGAACCAGAATAGTATGTGTGTGTATGGTTAACACTGAAGTGCTTGCATTACCTTTTGCCAGTTTTATTGGGACTGTATCTTCAAGCTCATGTTTTAATGAATAAAACTTAGTCACTTTCTCATATTGTTGAGTGAATCATGTTCTTTTTTAACCAACACAGTTTTATCCTATCTCCGTAGAGTACTTCATAACATAAATGAATAATGCAACATTGGTCTCGAGGTCAAAAGAATCTATATATAATTTCCTTCAATGTTGGGATTAAAGAACATACAATTTAGCTGTTGTATATTCATAATTTACACCTGAAATATCCTCTTCACATTTTAACCCATGGCATTTATGAGGCTATAATCAAAATAAGGATTTGCTTTGAATAAATCTGAAGTGAATGAAATTGTTTACTTTAAATGTAATCAGATTTAAGTTAAAATTTCAGCCATGTGAATAAATATGTAGTGTGCCATGTGTTGATAGAGGACTTTGGATATAAATTTTCTGACAATTATAGTGAAATCTTTTAATTATTCCACATTATATAGCACCATCATATAGATAGGTGTTTTTAAATTTTTTAATTTTGTTTTTTTTAATATCGTAAAATATACGATTGTTGCAAAAAGTGAAACAGGAAGTTATCAAAATTTTCATTGTGGTTCTATGTGGAATCAATTTTTCACTTAATGATTTGTTTACTGATTCATTTTATTAAAGTACACTTGACATGCAATATTATATTAGTATCAGTTGTAGAAAATAGTGATTATTTATGTTAATGATGTCATATCTTACAAAGTGATGACCACATCGAGTTAAAAACCATCTGTTCCCCCCATCTTCCCCTTTTTCCTTTTTTTTCCACTTGGTGGACATGCGCTTACCTGACCTCACCATCTTAGGCTTCAGGCCGGTTAAGCTCTGCGCCATCCACACCCCTACGCCTGATTCATTTTTTTCTTTCTAGTGAACTTGCTTGCAAAGTCTCCCATGCCTCATGGGCTGACTTTAAACAGATTGTTGGGAGGTAGTTGGCCTGCTAGTAGGAAACTCTGACATAGAGGCAGGTTGTCTACAATGGTTTAGACTTAGGTTCCCTACAAACGTACATTGTGTGGTGGGCAAGGGGGCTGCCCCCTTTTTTGGCTGTGTCCTACTTTCCCAGACAAGGTGCTTTCTGTACTGGACCCTGGTCCTGAAGTGTGGCAGAAAACTTCATTGCTAATCCTGGTCTCATAATGGGAAAGGAAATTTACGTTAGGCTGACTATTTATTCCTGTCACTGTGCAGTTAGCATTGGAGACAGACACCTGTGGGAAGAGTCAGGACAGAGTAGGCATCTCTAGTATCTAGTAAAAAATCAGTTTTTCCTTTTTGCCATGTCGAGGGTGACTGAGGTTCTACTGTTGTGATCCTGGCGGATTTTTTCTAGGAGTAGAGCTTGTAAGTGCTTGTTCCTCCATTGTTGGAGGAGAGAGCAACCCGTTCATGAGAGGCTTGCTATGTGGGGAGAGGTCTTATGAGGTCCACCCCTGCCCGGCTTTCCAAGGTTGGATGGACACTGGCCCTTCTAGTGCCCTTCCTTTTGAAGTTTGCACGTTGATTATGTCTCGGTCCCGACAATGCCACTCACGGCCAACCAAGATCGAGGCCCTCCAGGCCTGCAAGGTTTTTACTGCCTAAGGTCGCCTCAAGATGGTCCCTGTATTATGGCAGCTAAAATTGGTGCCCTTTTGTACATTGCTTTCTTCTCTACCCAGTCCCAGTTATTGGACACCTTAAAGACCTCTGGCACCAAGGCCGTCTGCAAGGTTTAATGTACTTACAGTTTTGAGACGGACTTGTGGCTTTCGCACTGCAGTCCCTAATAATAAGTTATTCTGGTGTTGGTCAGCTGCTTATGTTCTTGACTATTCATTAATGTAATTATGATATGGGGAACCTTTACATTTAAACCTAGCACTCAGAACTGACAGAATTCAGCTGCCCCTCAAAACTTACTCCTTTTTGATGTTTGGCCGTGGCTACTGCATTGAGTGTCCACTATACAAATCATTGATTGGCCCCCCTACTTCTATTGCGACTGTGCCTAGTCTGATTGTCCTTCAGCCCAGTCTTCTTTGACGACTGGCTCAGGTTGATGTCTTAAATTCTCTGGCCCTTTTGGACTTACAGTTTCCCTGCGATGAGGGCACTTGATCTTCAAATGGCTGATCTCTCTACAGAAGACACATTGGTTACAGTGTAATTTCCTTTTGGTTTCTTTCTGCCATATGGGAACAGCAGTCTGTTGCACTAGACCTGGGTTCCCTAATGCAGCTGCCAACAGGGACACCTGCTGCTTTCCCTGTTTGTCAGTTACCTCCTGGTATATCTCTGCTGTTTTTGACAATTTGTTGACTTCCTAGCCCCAGTCTTTACCTCTAATTTAGACTTTTCACAATATTTTCCCTGTAGTGAGGATCTCATGAGCTTTCTAACAAAAGGGATAGGAATCATTCTAACCCAGCCGAATTGTTTCCGGGCACTCCACCACTGTTCTTCAGGCTTTTCTATTATCAAGTTGAACTTGAACGAGACGGGAGACATGGTGTCAGGCCGAGGCTCTTGGGTGGTAGGGGGCAGCAAAGGCACTGATGTTGGAGGCCTGTCTGGCAGTTGATAGTAAAGTGGCCTCGCGGAGACTGATGGAGCTACTGGGATGTACAGCAGTCAAAAGATAGATTCCTTAGGGCCCCTGGGTGAATTAAATTTGTTGGCGTCTCCTTGTCCTTTCGCCTAGGCAGGTGAGCCACAAATGCCCTATTCTGTCCCTGCCTATTTGTGCCGAACCAGACCCAAGGGAGCACTATATTAATGATCTGCAGCCATGTGTCTATGTACAGAATTTGGCCTAGATATTCTGGGGTCCCTGTCACTGCCCAATATACTACCCTCACTGTGAGGAGGTCCAAGGTCCCTTTTGAGGGCCAACCTACCCCTAAGGCGGGCCATTTAAGCTCACAAAGAACACAAAGTTTTTCCGAGTTCAGCATGACCCTATACTCCTCAAAGAAACCCTCCTTAAAATTTTCCAACATACAATCTAAGACAGTTAGCTTAGTGGAACTCCCCCCACATTTGCAGGGTGCTTCCTTTGAGAAGTAGGCACAGAGGCTGGTGTTAATATAGTCTCTAAAGTCTTAGAAACCTAGTTAAAGCAACGCAAAACACTAAAATTGTTTCAAAGAAATACAGAATCCTAGTTTTCTTCCCAGAAAACCTTTTCAAACATTTGCATCATACCAATAGTCTAAAGAACATTAAACACAATTCCAGTTTTTTGTTGTTTCCTTTTTTTTTTTGCATCAGCTTACTCTCTGTATTTAAATTTCCAACCTTGTTTTACTTTATTACATAAAATTTTTCTCTGAGTTTCTTCACAAACCTTCTCCTACACCTTCCCCTCACAAGATT